CCACCAGCACCATGACAGTTGATGATTGCCATGACAACTGGAAAAGCCCACATAAGGACTGAAAAGGAGAGCTGCATCGGTTCCAGGTCCAAACCACACTCTGATTCTCGAATAACTCATGAGTGTTCTTCCCACTCTTTCTAATTCCCTCCCTCCTTTTACCTTGACCCTCCTATATATTTGGTGTCTCTCCCTCAAATTGGGTTGAGAAGTGGATTTGAGAACTAGGTTCCCTCTTCTCCATCCTTTGGCCATCGAATAAAGCTTGTGCTGTTCCAGGGTGGGAGGGAGGCTCAAGACGGAGGGAATATGGGGATATATGTATACATATAGCTGATTCACTTTGTGATACAGCAGAAACTAACACAACATTGTAAAGCAATTATACTCTAATAAGGATGTGAAAAAAAATAAAATAAAAACATCTTTATAGTAAAGAAAAAGAAAAAGAAAAGCTTGTGCTGTTCCAGTCTCAGCATCAGTTTTGTTCCTGGCTGTGCAAATCCAATAGGAGAAAGAACCTTCCTGGCAGAGACAGGGGGTCTCCACCCTGGTTAGGACACCAGCCCGGGTCCAGTCCACCAATTCAGTAACTATCTTATCAAGACAATTCTGTTTTCCAACTGAGGTGCCTAAGTAAGGCAATCTTTGAGGGCATTCCCAGCACTGAGTCTGTGATTTCTAAACAAGTCTAAAACACTTCATTAGAATGAAAACTGAATGATATCTAGAAAATATAAGGAACATTCTTTTAAAATGGAAAATGTTTGGGCTCCCCTGGTGGCGCAGTGGTTGAGAGTCCGCCTGCCGATGCAGGGGACGCGGGTTCGTGCCCCGGTCCGGGAAGATCCCACGTGCCGCGGAGCGGCTGGGCCCGTGAGCCATGGCCGCTGAGCCTGCGCGTCTGGAGCCTGTGCTCCGCAACCGGAGAGGCCACAACAGTGAGAGGCCCACGTACCGCAAAAAAAAAAGGAAAATGTTTGCTCTTGATGGAAAATACACAAGTATTCTTGATAGAATACCATACACACACATGCACACACCCCCAACCTTAATCCCAGTCACAGCCCAAAATAGCTACAAACATTCACAAAGTGTCTCCCAAAATTATTATTTTGTTCTGGACACCTGAGTATTCTATCAGTAGAAAGAAGAGGACCCAGTGAATGAAATCTTCCAACTCTGAGTTTCCATGAAAACTTGAGTTTGAAGGAACTAGGTCAAACTGACCTTCTTTGTTCAAACCAGTATAAACCTGATGTAATCACTGAAACAAACACAAAGAGGGAGCACAAATGTAAACGCTCTCAAAAGGAAGTGTTCAAATGTTCTAGACATCCAACAACTCAAAATGAGAACAGCTTGCCTCTTGAAATCCCCTAAAGAGACCAACTAGCCCCCTCCCAAACTCCACTACCAAAATACTCTCTAACCACCCTGAAGTTAAAAGGTGGTAAATACAGAGTTCAAGTGAACAAAAACAAGTGAGAAAAATTTAAGACAAATGTAAAAGAGAAACTTTGAGAACTAATCCAGGATCTGAATTTCTCATTGGTTGCCAAATTACTGCCACCGTTCAAACCTAAGTGTGTCCTGAGCACAGTGGTCCTGGGGAGAGACCCCTGTCCTCACAGAACTGACTGACCATCTACTGGGGGAGACAGGTGAGGCACACTCAGGCTACTTACAGACCAAGAAGAAGCCAGTATTCAGTGCTGGGACCCGGTGAGGGGCACAGAGGAGGGGTCACTGCAATCAGGGTGGTCAAGGAAGGTCTCTCTCTTGAGATGACTGCTGAGCTGAGACCCAGAAGAGAAGAAGGCAGCCAAGCAAACAGCTAGGGAAAGAAAGTCCTAGGTTTGTGAAGGACAGCCTGGCTGTGTCAGAGTCAGAAGGCACCCCTGTAGGTAGAGTGTGGGACGTGACTGGCGGTAGGGCTGTGACTCTGACCAGCCCAGCCCGGGTCTGCAAAAACACACGGGCACTTCTGGCTTCTCTAATGAACACAGCCTCCCACTCAAATCATCTGATGGCAGATTCCCTAAAACTCAGAAAGGGGGATGCGTGGGGAACCAAAAAAAAAAGGAAAGTATCCATTGAGTGTCACTAGATTATCCTCTGTTCAGAAAAGAAAACTAGACTCAGAGAAGCTAAGTGGCTTGCACAGAGTGACATAGCTCTTCCGTAAATGAACTAGGACTCAAACTAGGAGTGTCTGACTGGTGCGTCAGTTTCTTTCATCTGGCTTTTTAACATAACAAAAGCATTTGGCAGAGGTTATAATGATACACTACTAAGATTCCCATGGACTGTTTTTTCCTCTATGATACTGACTAAGGCTCAAATGACCTACTGATATACTCAGAAAGTTTTCCCTTGCACAATTCCTGCCAATTAATTTATCTTCTTTATAAACTGATGTTAATTAACATTTCAAAATGATCACTAAATGACCTTCTAAATACATAATTCATAACAGTCAAAACTTCGAAGCTCAGATGTCCAACAGGCTTAGGACTGATGGTAATATAGAAATATGACAAAATGCTGCGTAGCAATTCTAAGTGATAGGCATGTGGACTCCTCGTACAGGGAAACATAATAGCTACTAATGTGAACTTAATTTCATATTAAACAGAAAAAGCAGAGCACAACATGGTATGTACAAACTGGTTACAACTTTGTGACAAAGTACATATACTTAACAAGGATGAGAAATACATTTTTATTAAGGTCATTTTCATTTAAAGTTGCTTGAGCTCACATAATAAATTTACAAGGGCACCTTTCCAAAAGAAAACAATGTTAAAGAAAGAAATATTTTAAAAGGTGGACTTTCTTAATATCTATCTAGAACAAGCACTCATATTCTCTTCACCATTTGGAATTTTAAAAGTACAAATAGCATTAGATTAGATAGTTTTCTGATTTTAAATACCTGAGGTTCGTATGACTGAGCATTTCAATATTGACCCAATGGAAAAGGACAGTGCAAAGATGATGCCTATAACCAAATATTAGTATAAACATTGAACACCATCAAAAATTTTTCTGCAGTGACTGTAAACCTAGAGTTGTAAAACAAACCCCAAGCACTCATAACACATGCCAGAAGACTCATCCAAAGCCTCATTTTCTCCTATCCTGATGTCTAATATATTAAAATGCTGTATCAATCATTTACTCCTTCTGGAAATATTAACAAAGTTTCACCAAATGCAATAATTGATGGACCTGTAAAATGTTGCCTGCATTGTCTTGTGGGTCTGAAAACTCTTCAGTTCAGTTTTTCAAGATCGTCAACACAGTATTGGGCTCCATTGTTCTCACTGTATCCCGAAATGTGCTTCATCTCCTTGTATTTAAGAATTTAACTCGTTTTATATTTGTTACCCATCACTTAGCAAACAGTGGTCTGAAGGACAGCCTGGCTGCGTTATGTATATAAATGGAATGAATTCAGAAAATTATTTAACCCTATTTCAAAATGGATGGGAGAAACATAAGAGATGCTATACAGAAAAATAAATTTTTTTAAGCATACTTCAAATTGAATTTCCTAGATCCTCTACCTCATCCTTGTAAGTTGGCCTCTCCATTGGCATTTGTCTATTTTTTTATAGTATTCCCTGAATCAAAAGGACATAAATAAAAATAAAGGATGGGAATTTACTAAATGCCACCGAATTGTACACTTTAAAATGGTTAATTTTATACTACGTGAATTTTACCTGAATAACTAAAAAAAGGATAAAGTCAACAATATATGTCTCTATTACGATGAACATATAATACAGGTGTGATAAAGAGAGAATATAGGAAGTCTAAGCAAGGAAATTCTGAGATTGCCCAACCAAAGTACTGTAACAATAAAAAACAATGTATTTATGATTTAAGCTGAGATTTGCTTTAAAAGAACGTGGAAGGGGTGGGGAATGGGTAAGGGTCTAACTGAACAAGATTGGCTAAGGATTGATAATTGTTGAAGCTGGATGATTGGTACAGGGAGTTCATTATATCATTCCCTTCACTTTTGTGTATGTTCAAAATGCCCAGAGTAAGCCGTTTAGTGGGGGTTTTTTTAAGACTATTTTTTAAATTAATTAATTAATTAATTTGGCTGCTTTGGGTTATTACTTGCAGCACGCGGGCTCTTCGTTGCGCCGCACAGGCTTCTCTCTAGTTGTGGCACGCAGGCTCCAGAGTGTACAGGCTCAGTAGTTACAGCACATGGGCTGTTTCTCCACAGCATGTGGGATATTAGTTCCCTGACCAGGGATCGAACCCACGTCCCCTGCATTGGAAGATGGATTCTTTTTTTTTTTTTTAATTTATTTATTTTTGGCTGCGTTGGGTCTTCATTGCTGCGTGTGGGCTTTCTCTAGTTGCAGTGAGCAGGGGCTGCTCTTCGTTGCAGTGCGCAGGCTTCTCATTGTGGTGGCTTCTCTTGTTGCAGAGCACGGGCTCTAGGCATGTGGGCTTCAGTAGTTGCAGCACATGGGCTCAGTAGTTGTGGCTTGCGGGCTCTAGAGAGTAGACTCAGTAGTGGCACATGGGCTTCGTTGCTCCGCAGCATGTGGGATATTCCCGGACCAGGGTTCAAACCTGTGTCCACTGCACTGGCAGGTGGATTCTTAACCACTGCGCCACCAGGGAAGTCCCGGAAGGTAGATTCTTAACCACTGGACCACCAGGGAAGTCCCAGCTATTTAGTTTTGTTTTGCTTTGCTTTTGTTATATCTTTACAATAGATCTAATCCTGGAACTTGAAACACATGTATAGAACTGGGTATATAAGAAGCTTAAAGTGAATCAGAAAAGCAGCAAAATTATCATCTTACTTTACTGTCATGAGAACATCTGGCTTCTAATATTGTCCACTGTTAACTTCTTTTTTTAATGAACAAGGAAGCTTTAGCACTTCCTCAACAACTTATTTCAACTGACTTCATAAACAGCACATTTTACAAAGGATAAAAATTTGTAAGATCAGTACATACCAGGAGTATCATAGGCCGTTTCCAAGTTGTTAATCCTATGATTCCAGAGAGTATCACCTACAAGGATAAACAGGATCATAAATCTAGAAAAGGGACCCATTCCAATAAACTAATCCCCAGTCTCTGAAGTATATATTTTTTAAAAATACTGAAATTTCAAAGGCTTCTAACTCAAACATTTAATATTCCTGTTGATTACATGAGCCCTGGTATATGGTTTTAGACTATCTTTCTTGTCCAAGTTCCGGAAACTTTTTCACTGACTGCGTATGTTTTTTCTTAAGGTCAGTTAAGAACATACAAACAGAAACTAGCCTATCCTCTGAGTTAAGGAATCAGTATTTCCTATCCAGGTTTCCTGCCCCCAGTAGCACCTAATCTGTCACCAGAGTCAGCCGCATAAAAAGAATGTCTGGCTGCAACCCTCCCTTCATTTGGTAGGTACCCATCCTTCATGGGACAAGTCAATTCCTCAAAATGGTAAACAAGGCCTTCCAGGATCTTCCCCTGCCTACTTCTCAAGCATGGTTTCCATGTTGACCCACTCCTGACCCACCCTCCTTCCAGGCATACTTGTCCTTCCTCAGACTGGCCAGGCTCTAGACATTCCAGGACTTTGTGCTTCTCTTTGTCACAGAGTCCTCTCTTCTCAACTCCCCTCCTAGCTGCCTGAGAACTCCTATGCATTCTGCAAGGCCCCAACACACAGTCATCACCTCTGATAAGCCATATTAATCTTAACACCCCACACTCCTGTAAGCCCTCTACATATAACTTTTTCCCCAAAAAAAACTCATTGCATTTTTGTCTTGCCCACTGACTGTGAATGCCTGTCCTGTCTCTCTGAATCCCCAGCTCCTAGCAAAGTGCTTATCACATGATTGGCAATTAGTAAATGTTCCTGAACCTTTATTCCTCAAAGGCGGAGGGACTACAGTGAGAAATATCTCATGTTGCAAAATGACACGTCAATAAACAATAACCTAAAATCCTCAGTAAAGAAGAACCAGCATTTTGCCAAAACGTAATCTGGAAGACAACATCAGCCTTTTGAATAACACAGTTCACTAAGCAGTTAGGAAAGGATAAGCAAAGTAATTATTCAGCCCAGGGTCACTCTGATGACCTTTGTGTACGTAATAAAGTGCATCTACTGAAAGCAGTTATGAGGATTTTCTTTCAAGTGCACTTTTCACCAAAATCACTCAAATGCACCATTTCACAATAACTATTTATTTAACTACAAATCAGTAAGGATTACAGTGCTACTTGAAACCCAAAGCTCACAGGCCTACCTGCGATACTCTCTCTTCTCCATTTATTGACTGAGGGTAATCATTTCACAACAAACCAGTAGAGGACAAGTCTACCCATTTATATCAAAGACCAAAAAACATATATGGGGCTTCCCTGGTGGCGCAGTGGTTGAGAGTCCTCCTGCCAATGCAGGGGACATGGGTTCGTGCCCCGGTCCGGGAAGATCCCATATGCCGCAGAGCGGCTGGGCCCGTGAGCCATGGCTGTTGAGCCTGCGCGTCCGGAGACTGTGCTCCGCAACGGGAGAGGCCACAGCAGTGAGAGGCCCGCGTACCGCCAAAAAAAAAAAAAAAACACACACACACAAAAAACATATATGGGCAGACAGGAGACAATTTCTTTGTATCGTGTCTATGTTTAAACATACTATCAGCTGCCTGCTCACTGGGCACTATATCCTTTCATCTTCTTAAATTCAGTAGGATATTTCCTTCCTCTAAACGATTTCTTCCTGGAAACACACTTGGTGGGGCTTGTCTAGAGGGTATGGGTGACATCTACTTACAAATTGGAACTTGGAATCCATGACATCTTGGGGTCCAGGTTCCTTACTTGGCTTTGAATTATATACACACATGCACAGGGGTATGATATTTACAACAACAAAAAAAGAATCATAAAAGATACTCTTCCTCCTCTTCTTTTTCTCTCTCAACAAATACTTCACTGGAAATCACTTCATGTTTACTGAACTAGCTCTCATTCATTTCCATTTAATGGTTACATAATATTCCTTTGTACAACCACTACCTAATGTATTCAATCATTTCCATATTCATGGGTATTCACTCTTTTTCCAGTTTTTTGCCCCCAAACAATGTTGCAGTAAACATCATGGCCATATAACCTCACAAACAAGTGCTTTTTATTTCTGCTGAATAAAGTCCCAGGAGTAGCGTTGCTAAGTTGAAAGGGGCATGTGTATAATAAGTACATAAATAAATAAAATGTTTTTAATAGATCATGACATATACAATTATCATTTCAAATGAAGGGTCTCTAGGACAAAAGAACTAAGCTTTCTTTCTTTTTAAACTCAAAAATTTTATTTATTTATTTATTTATTTTTTATTTTTATTTATTTATTTATCTTTGGCTGCGCCGGGTCTTAGTTGCGGCATGCAGGATCTTCGTTGCCACATGCGGGATCTTTAGTTGCAGCATGCGGAATCTTTAGTTCTGGAATGCATTATCTTTAGTTGTGGCATGCGGAATCTTTAGTTGTGGCATGCGGGATCTAGTTCCCTGAGCAAGGATCAAAGCAGGGCCCTCTGCATTGGGAGCACAGAGTCTTTTTCTTTAAAGATTTTTTCGATGTGGAACATTTTTAAAGTCTTTATTGAATTTGTTACCATATTGCTTCTGCTTTATGTTTTGGTTTTTGGGCCCCGAGGCATGTGGGATCTTAGCTCCCGACCAGGGATCGAACCCGCACCCCCTGCATTGGAAGGAGAAGTCTTAATCACTGGACCGCCAGAGAAGTCCCCTAAGCTAGATAGTCTTCTTCCTCCCTCCTTCCCTCCCTCCCTCCCTCCCTTTCTCTTTAGAGAGGACTTTGCATATATGAGCAAACTAAATTTAAAACATAATTGTTGGGACTTCCCTGATGGTGCAGTGGTTAAGAATCCGCCTGCCAAAGCAGGAGACAAGGGTTCGAGCCCTGGTCTGGGAAGATCCCACATGCTGCGGAGCAGCTAAGCCCATGTGCCACAACTACTGAGCCTGCACTCTAGAGCCCGTGAGCCACAACTACTGAGCCCGCGTGCCACAACTACTGAAGCCCATGCACCTAGAGCCCGTGCTCCGCAACAAGAGAAGCCACCGCAATGCGAAGCCCACGCACCGCAAAGAAGAGTAGCCTCCGCTCGCTGCAACTAGAGAAAGCCTGCGCACAGCAACGAAGACCCAACACAGCCAAAAATAAATAAATAAAAAATGAGATAAATTTTAAAAAAAGAAATATCAACAATCTCAAAATATATGTGACAAAGAAACTTAAGACCTCAGTAGGAAGAAATATAAAGCTTATTGATCAATATTAAAGACCCAAGTAAATCAAGACATATACCATATTCATGGGTTGGAAGACAAAATACTTAAAGATATCATTTCCATTTGAATTGTTTTGTAGACTCAGCACACACAAATGTTAAATTTCAACAGGATTTTTGTAAACCACCCTTCTTTATAGGATGCTTCAAGAAACTACATTCTAGTTGTAGGTGGGAGTTGTAGTTACATCCACCTCAGTCCTGAGCCCTGCCCTCCCATTCTTCAAGATTAAGTAAGCCCAACACACTTGGGGAACCCCGTGAGTGGTGAGATAAGAGAAGGGGAAGCAGAGGAAGTAGGAAGCGTCTGGAATGTGGAATAAAAGTGCTGCAGCTGGGGATGAATCGTTTAAGAGCTCAAGACTGAAGGGAATGGAGGTTCACATTTCGGGGAGGGGTGTGCAATTCATGACTGGGGAGAGAGGATGGGGAAGTGAAAGAGGAAGAGGCAGAGTATTCAATGCCTCCGCTTCCATCAATGGCAGCAGCACCTGGAGCTCCATCAGAAGGGACTCAAGATCCCTTAACACTGGCCTTCCATTACCCCATAATGCTATTCCTTGTTCAATTGTGTTCTACACTCACTTGCAATCTCATGAGGGCTTGGATCTCTGAATATTCACTCAAGTACCACTAAAGGCTGCTAGAGGCACTCAATTAGTTATGGCAAGAGTCAACGAACAACTGAATGGATGATGAATAAATAAATGAATGAAGGTCAAAAACAGGAGATGAACTTGCTCAAAGATGACTATGTAAGCCTAAACATATTTTTCACTCCCGTGCTTCTTGAAAGAGTATATCAACAGCAAAAAGCAACTCCATCAGCATTCTTTCCACCCAGTGCAAGATGCAACTTGCTCGGAATAAACAGGCGAGAACCTATTTTCTAACACCAAATTATCTCTATATCACTATAATGAGATTTACTACAATTTTGGTTTCACTCACTTGTGACCCATTCTTTGTAGCTCATGGGGAAAAGCAGAGGCCTTTCTTTTTTTCTGATATTGCAAAGAAGGATTCTACGATACTCCAGGCAAGAATCACTGTTACCCACCATATGTGGTGAATGTGCCTTAACTTTCCAGCTTAAAAATCAAATCATTAAAGTCAAAAGCATGTAATTCTACTACCTTATTTTTCTGTGTTAATCCATTAACATACCTTAGGGCAAAAATGTTCTGAATTGTTTGTCAAAAGTTGCCATATCTAAACATAGAGTTAAAAAGAGCCATGTTATAGGTGTCCCACTTCTTAATAACCTATCTTGCCCTATAGCTTTTACACTGGATATATTTTTTAAATGTATGTGTGCATGTATCCTTCTTTATCTGCCCAGGGTAACTCAGTAAAAGATCTGACAAAGTGGACAACTGGGTATTTCTCATGTACGCTTGTTGGTTACCACAATGTCCCACCAAAAAACAAACAAACAAACAAAAAAAACTAGACTGTTCACCTTATCTTAATTAAATATTGCCTTGATGTTTAAAAAACATTGATAGAAGTTCTAGTATGTGCCAGGCCTGGGGATAGGACTCAGCAACGAAGCATTTTCCTAAATGTTCTCTAATCACACTCTCACAAAATCAATTCTGAGGCAAGAATCATCCCACCCATTTTACAGATGAGTAACTGAGGTTGAGAGGCTCAATGACCTGCTCAAGAACTTATCATCATGGATGGACCTAGAGACTGTCATACAGAGTGAAGTAAGTCAGAAAGAGAAAAGCAAATATCATACATTAACGCATATATGTGAAATCTGAAAAAATGGGTACAGACGATCTTATTTACAAAGCAGAAATAGAGACACAGACATAGAGAAGAACAAACATATGGATACCAAGGGGGAAAGGGGGTGGGGTGGGAGGAATTGGGAGATTGGGATTGACATATATACACTACTATGTATAAAATAGATAACTAATGAGAACCTACTGTATAGCACAGGGAACTCTACTCAGTGCTCTGTGGGGGCCTAAATGGGAAGGAAATCCAAAAAGGAGGGGATATATGTATACGTATAGCTGATTCACTTTGCTGTACAGTATAAACTAACACAATATTGTAAAGCAATTATACTCCAATTAGAAAAAGAACTTATCATGTGACTCTGCTGTTGTGTAAAATAAAGGACCAAAGAAAATTAAATTCATCTCAAAAGTTATACTTAAAAATACTCCTTCAATATTAAAGTAGTATTTGATGATTATGATAGAAAAAAAATGTACTTACTGTTGTTTAACTGGTAGAGACTAGAATTTTTGTGTTAGTTTCCACTCTGGTCCATTCATTCTTTTTTTTTACATTCTGTCATTGTAAATTTTTTTTAATAGGTTTACCTTAAGGTTCACCAATGTCTGTCTCTTTATAAGGAACTGGAATCTTGCCAAAGAATCACAGACTCAAGGGAGGGGGGACCATGAGTTCAGGTCAGTGACTTCAACAGAGAGACATGAATGTATGTAGATGATAAAGGCTATTAGGGCTCCCAGAGAAAAACAAAAAACATTAACTAATTCTCTACCACTTGCCTGAAATATCTCCCAAGGATCATATACGTCATCAGAGTCAGGAATTTTGTTTTTTGAGGGAGACACGAACCAATGCAACTCTCTCTACTCTTCCATTAATCTAAAACAGTGCGGTAGGCTGGTCTCCCGTAGTCCCAGCGGAATCTAACTACTATTAGCTAACTATGCCTCCAAATCAGGAGCCAGGATAGCGTGGCCTGAACACGGACATGGAGATCCTCCCTCTGCCCTCACCCGGGTCAAACTTCAGCATGTTTTTAAAGTGTCTACTCGGGAATAATAATAGATTGAGTCATTAACCAAGGACACCAGCAAGAAAATAAATGATCACAGAGTGCTCAAAAACAATGAGCACATTAAAAACACTCCCTTCAAGTTGTTGAAAGTAAGTATGTAAAGTATGGGAAAAGAGTCTTTATAGGACTTGTTAATTCTCAAACATGTATTACAATAGATAAAATACACCTTCAAGGTTCAGACAAGTGAAGGAAGACTCCAAATCTTGGGCTCAAGGTGAGAATAACACTTACAGCGGTATATATGGAAAAATATTCTTGAACTATAGTGTGTTTAACAAAATAGTCCTTTCAAATGAATACATTTGTCCCTTATGAGCAAAATTTTTACTGCAGCCAAAAGATTTGCTGACTTAGTTGATACAGCAGACTCAGGCATATAATGGTCATTCAAAGCTTGAAATATGAGGATATCCTTCTACTGTGTTCCTACGTGGGTTTGAAGTAACCTTAGACTTAAGCTGGCACTGCCACTCAACTACCTACTTTCATATGCCAGTCAAACTTCTGAGCGATAAATAAAACATGGTATAGCAACACAATGGGATCTCATTTGTCCATAAACAGGAATGAAGTAGTGATACATGTCACAACATGGATGTGCCTTGAAAATGTTATGCCAAGTGAAAGAAGCCAGTCACAAAGGACCATTTGTTGTATGATCCCATTTATATGAAATGGCCAGAATAACAAATCCATAGAGACATAAAGTAAATTGATCAGCGGTTGCTTAGGGATAATGGAGTAAGGAAGAAATGGGGTATGACTGTTAATGGGTACAGGGTTTCTTTTGGGGGGTGATGAAAATTTTCTAAAATTGATTGTGGAGATGGTTGCAAAACTGTGAATTTAATAAAAATCAATGAACTGCACACTTTAAATGGGTGATATAAGTAGATTTAAATGGAATGTGAATTATATCTCAATAAAGCTGTTATTTAAAAAAAAATTCTGCAGTCCTCAAGTCATAATTCTTAAGTTTTTCTCATAAAAACTTTAGTTTAGCTGTCTTTAAATTAGTTACAACGTGCTATCAAGCCCCTTCCTGTTAACTATTAAGCCCCTTTCTTTTAGAAATACATTCTGAAATATTTAATGCTGAAACTACAATACTGGAGATTTGCCTTAAAATAATCCAGTGGGTGTTACCAAGGGGGAGTGGGTGTGAGTATATAGTGACCATGTAAATGTTGATAACTACTGAAGCTGGGTGACGGGTCAATGGGGGTTCTTTCTATATGTGTTGAGATTTAAAATTTTCAAAATAAAATTTTAAAGGTAGAGTGGGGTTCTTAAGACTTCCTGGTCACTTCTCTGCTGTCTCTCTAGTCCACTTACATTTTTCTTTTTAAAAACATACATGTATTGAAATATTTACAGGTGTAATGATGTGATGTCTGAGATTTGTTTCAAAATAACGTGGGAAGTGAATCTGACAAATGGACTAGAGGGCACGCTGAAGCTAATTTCTACCCTGCTTAGAACACCCATCCTTCTGGAGTTATCAGAACACATAGAGGGAATTCCCTGGTGGTGCAGTGGTTAGGACTCTGCGCTTTCACTGCCAAGAGCCTGGGGAACTAAGATCCCACAAGCTGCCCGGTGCAGCCCAAAAAAAAGAACACATAGAGCCGGCAGCAGAGCCAGAAAGAGGTACAGGAGATAAAACAACTGTTAGAGCTGGGTGAGGGGTATATGAAGATTCATTGTACAGTGTCTGAATAAATTTAAAATTTTCCATAAAGCAGAGTTTAAAAAAAACCATCTCTCTCACATACATAAACTCAAAAGGTATGCTACTGCTGAGACTTTTTTCCTGCAACACCAGGAGAGTCATGGGGCTTGACGCCATTCTCAAATCCTGTTCAGTTGCTCTGGACATGTACTATCTGTCGGTTCTGTTGTCACTTTGCAAATTCTGAGGACAACCTCAGAAACAGGCCACAACAAATAAGAATAACAAACAGTTGCAAGTTTGTGTATAGAGTTGGGGGCACAGTGTGGGAAAAGGACCCTGTGGAAGAGACTTAGTTCCAAATCACTCATTCTTTCCCAGCTCTGGTTTACTGGGTCCCACAGACAAGGATGTGCCCAGCCAGCAGGCCCAAGCTAGCAGCCTTTATCTTCTGGTTGATTCCTCTTTTTTTTTTTCTTTTTTAATAGTTCATCAAATCTAACTATGGCTTGACTGACATCTAAAGTGTATTTACCTCTGAAATAATTCACAATAGTACACTGATTTAGGGGTTTAATTTTAGGAGAGAAAAAAATAGTTTTCAATAATCCTAAACTAGCTATCTTTGAGAAGACAAGAGATTATGATTTTACAAAGAGCAAATCCCTAAAAATGTATGCAAGAGTCACTTCTGCCCCATGGTATTTAGAGAAATAAAATGCAGCCACCATTTGGCTGAATTTAGTCTGACAAGCGGACTAAGGAGCATAACGGATCTAATCCCTACCCTGTTGGGAATACTCCTCTTTCTGAAGTTTTAAAGGACTCCCAGAGGCCAGTGGGAGAGCCCAAGGGTAGGGCCAGGAGGGTGGGATTCCTTTTACACGATGCACAGATTGTGAATTCCACCCACCACAGTAAGATCATCCAGCATTAAAGTATTTCAAAAAGAACAAACTGGCATCAGTTTAAGTATAAAATGCCAGGCAAGGCTCTAGGTACCTAATGTTCTTACAGTTCTTTCAAACAATTACTTTGGGTTCAATTAGTTCTCCCTATATTCTTAAAATTTGGTCTTGAATCTGGGTTTGTGTGGACCTGCAAGGCCAATTTTCAGCCATTCAAAATATACATTCATTACAGATCTTAGTAAAAACTATAGGCATTGCCAGGCTTTTAGATTTAGTTTAGAGAAAGGCCGTTTACTTTAAATATTCATCTTCCACAATCATTCCACGAAAACCTATTTCCAGGTCTCTCAATCCTCAGCAAACCTCAAGACGCAGGATGCCTTGGAAGCTGTGAAATCGTTAGGAGGCAGGGACGAGCAGCCACCAGTTTCCATAAACGCTCGAGGGCAGCAGCCTTTTGCCCCAGAACAGCCTTCCTGTCCGAGGAGGCAGGGCCGGTAGGGCCTGTAACGGAGCGGGGCAGACATCTCCGGCTAGTTGGGACTTCGGCAAGCTCATCCACGATGGGTTCGGGTTCTGGAGAATTAAATTCTGCCCATCAGTCTGCGTGGCTCCAGGAACCTAGTGCGGGCTTAGGGCCCTCCTTTAATGACCAAGTACGTGGGTGCGTTCACACACCCTGTTATTACCTCCTGAACTCGTCCCCAGATACAGTGGAGCTAGCCTACACCAGACACTTAACATTTACTTGTGCCTTAGTCCGGAATAAAAACAAGTGACGTGCGCCAACCTGTCACTTCATCCATCCCACAAATACTCCTACTATGTGCCAGGCACTGTTGATACATCAGTGAACAAAACAGATCAAGATCCTTGCCCTCCCCGTGCGGACGTTGTCAGCAAGTAAATACTCAATAGCTGAAAGAAGTTTATTCATTTTCTTCCCGCTTTTTTGTCACCCACCCCCATCCTTCCAATCTCCCAAAGAGCCGGAAATCGGGTTTATTCTATTAGTTTGACAGGAACAACAAAACCCTTTAGCCTACAAGGAATAGACACTGTCCAGGTGCAACCCAATTCACCCCAGAATTCCTCTCTCTTACCCCTTTATTTTTCCCCAGCCTCAACGCCTCCAAAAACTTCAACTGGCCTGAAGGGCTGTGCTCCCGAAGGATCAATCACGGGGCAGTGGAGGCGAACGGCCTGAGCCCCCCTGCTCCCCGGGTGGGCCCTGCCGAAGTGAGCGGGGCACGCGCGGCACTCACCGAAGAGCCGGCCCAGAACGGGCACGAGTTCTTCACCTGCGGGGAGCTGCTCAGCGACAGCGCCCCGAAGCTGAGTGCCACCATACAGCAGCCCAGGATCAGCTGCAGCAGACCGAGCGACAACAGCGGGCGAGCGGGCAGCAGCGCCGATCCCGGGGC